TTCTGACTACTTGATCTCTAGTTACTTTTTTTTTCCACCCCAGACTATGAACTCCGTAGTTGTCTCCTCTTCCTGCTGCCAGTGTTTGCCTTTGCTGTTCAGTTTTGGGATTCGTCCTGTGCTGAGCTCTTAGTCATTTTGTAGCATCTTTATTGCTTATACAAGTGATAGATCAAATAATGTTAAGATTGCAGAAACTAAAGGTTGTTAGGAATAGTTACTTGGCTCCCCATCAGAACTGACTGAGCAGGTGTTCAGATATTTTGCTTTTGATCATGTAGAAGGCTCCATTTGTATAATATTTTGTACTGTAGTTTAGTGTCTGAGATGGCTTACCCTAATTGAAATATTTTAATCTACCTTTTGACCAGGTATCCAGCTCACATTGAAGAAATTGATTATGAAGAAGGAAAAGTACTTATCCATTTCAAACGCTGGAACCATAGATATGATGAATGGTTTTGTTGGGACAGTCCTTATCTGCGTCCCTTAGAGAAAATACAGTTAAGAAAAGAAGGATTACATGAGGAAGAAGGTTGTGCAGTAAGTAGAAAACAGAGGACATTTGAGTATGTAACAGTTCAATGTGCGGTTGTATGAATTATGACCGTTAAAATGCTTGACTGTTGTTGTGTTGCCTGCTGTATAAGTTTTATGATTTATTGTAAATACTGGAAAATGAATCATTTTAATGTTTTAATGAAGTTGTATGTCTCAGTAATTCTCAGATGAAAACACTTGTAATGACTGTCTTGTAGGGATTTCATATAAATGATCAGGTGTTGGCATGCTGGTCTGATTGTCGCTTCTATCCAGCCAAAGTTACTTCTGTTAACAAAGATGGTAAGGACTCACTTTTGGTTTTGTCATCCTTGTTAGTAACGCATTTCTAATTGTATTCTAACCTTTTTGCTTAGGTGGAGAGATAGTACAGCAGTCAGAAGACAACTATGAAAAGTTTTCTTTTCAGTTATATGTTTTAGTCTGCCATCAACTTTTTTAACCTAACCTCTTATCCTTTTCATGAGATAAAAGAACTTTCTGCTGGGGTATCCAGTCAGTAATTGCTTTAAGTATATATTTGGGAAAGATTGTTTCTTCTTGACAATAAATTTAAGAGATGCATGTAACCACAGTAAAACTAGTGTCAGAGCTGCAAAATCCCTTTAAAAATAGGGGAGGAAAAAAAAAGCACAGCCATGCTTCTCATTTTTGAATATCAGTGAGGAACCGTGAAGGGCTTTTTCTTCTGCTGTGCTTTGTTTTAGATTGACTGTATGTTGTAAGATCAAGGAGAAAAAGTCCATGTAATTATCTATTGGAGTATTCCACCAAAAATATGTTGGGGTTTTGTGACGAAAGTATATCTAAGGAGCAACTCTAAGCTTGCACCTTTACACTTACCATAATTATTTTTGATAATGTCAGTGTTTCTCCCTTACCTAGCCTGTGCTGTTGAAGTTTCTAACACCACAGATAAGGCAGCTTTTATCTAGATCTAAATATGCAGCTAGAGTATTGGAGCTGTTAGCAAATCCTCTGTTAAATAACTTTTGATCTTTAAACTCTTACACTTTATTTTCAAATTTTAGGTACGTACACTGTGAAATTCTATGATGGTGTAGTTCAGACTGTCAAAAACATTCATGTCAAAGCTTTTTCCAAAGATCAGGTGAGTATTGTGTTTGTGCTACTAGTGTATTCTAAAATTGACAGTTCAGGTGGTTAGATTTGATGGATTATAAAATTTGAAATTAGTGAAACATCTCTATTGCTAACATACAATGCATCTGAAATAAAATCTGTTAGAAGTTTATGCATGGTATGATTTGTAAAGCTCTCAGGTTCATGTTCTTATGAACGCATCTCTTGAACTAGAGAAGTCATAGGCATATAAATAAAACAACTTTCTAAAAATCATTGGAAGATAAAGAGTGTACATAGTAAAGCTAGTGGTAGGTTATTGAAACACCCTTTGGTTGTTTCACCAGTTTGAGATTAGTTTAAATACACGGATCTTAAAAATGATAGGATGGAAACTATGGAGAGGAGAGAAACTATTCTGTCCCAAAGTAACTACTTGATTGTCTTGAGACTTTTAAGGAATCTGTCTAGTAATCTTTCACCTGACAACATTTGAGAAGATAAGCTTTTTTACTAATCCACATTCTGCTTCTGTGATTTGGCTGTTCTACCAACCCTTCACCTCCTCAGTACTGTGGGTTCAACCTTCTGCTCGTGATGGAAAGTAGTAGTGAGGCATTCTAGGAAAAAAAAAATACATCTTTTTTTGGTCCTGCTTATGGTGAGAAGGAAGGAGTGCTGCTTTGTACTTCAGTTTTCATGTGTGCGCACTTTGTAGGAAAGGCTGACAAGTCTAGTCCTATGTAGCTTGCTTGAAACTTCTTGGGTACCTGCTTCAGTATAGTTTTCACTACAGGAATGATTTTAAGTTTGAGATCTTGCCATACATTCCTGTGTGGTAGTCGTAACCTGTGTTTTTTAGTCATGCCTTCTTCTTTTCTAGCTTTCTGGAACTTCTAAGTTTGAGCAAAGGAATTGAATCCCTTCCCCCAACACAAACCTTAAATACAGATTCCAATAATTAATATTAATGGGTACAGTTTAAATCTGTTGTGAAGAGGCATGCCATTCCTTGGAGGACTGTGGATTTGTGGATCTGCCAGACTGGGAGGAAAAACTATTTCAGATATGCCACAAAGTGCTCTTAATAGATTTCAAATGATAGTAGTTGTGCCTCCTAATAGTTGTAAGGGAACTACCTGAAGAATCTTCATTGCCACACGAAATATTTCTACCATATTTAACCTTAAATACATGAAGTTGAACAATCTGAAGAAATATTCTGCGTAAGAAAGGCAAAGTGTATTTTTGTCTCTCCTCTCTCCTTTAGGGAGTTTCATGTTTCTGCATAGCTTTGGGTAGGTTTTTAAAGGCGTTTTTTTTTCTCCATTTAACCGTTGACAGGGAAGATATCACTTAACTGGATAGATAAGTTATGCTAGAATGTTTTGTTCTGTCGTTTAGCATTAAAAAAAAAAATAAAAGGAGAATTTTCTAGTGACCTCTGTTTACACAATTAGAAGTAAAGTTTAAAAAATAAAAATACTTGAGCCACTGGAGAGGTCAAGATTCAGTTGTGACTGTGAGTTGCTTAGTGTAGATTCAGGTACAGCAGTACTGTAGCAGCATGCTGGCAGTGGAGCACAAGTCTCTTGTTCCTGTTCCTCAGTAGGAAAAGCTATAGCCTTGAGGACACACATGGCTCATATCTTAGCTGTTCTTTACATGAAGAGACCTCAAACCACCTCCTGTTTTCTGAAGGGAGCGATGTAAGCTGGTCATCTTTCTTTTAGTGACAATGTTGCTCTGTCCCTGTGTAGAGAATGTAACATGCTGTATTGAACAGTGATGGTAAGATGCTAATGACCTGCACAGTGTGAATATACTTATGCAAGGACATCCAGCTTTTAAGAGCTCATTAACATCAAATGGTAATTCAGACATACTATATTTATGGTTCAGTTTCTTGAGAATAATTTGATTAAGATGGTTCATGGGTGTTCCAGTACAACCTGCTTGAGTCAAATTGAATCGTTCTATGAGCAGCACAACAAATGAAACCTAATGTCTGAGGGTTATTTTTTGAGATTTGTTTTACTGTTGTTTGATTTTCCACTGAAGCTTCTCCCATAGCTGTGGCATCTAAGGAATTTACAGAAGACAGATTTTTATGTCTGGTAAAAGTGGTGCTGAGACACCTAAGAAGGTGAAAGACTTTATTCCCCTTTGCCTAGCTGTTTTTATGAAATGTACAGCAATTTGATCTCAGATTTTTATAAAGTGATTTTTTTTTTGTTACCTCTGTGCCAAGTATGGTTGAAATAATATCATAGAGGTTGGAGCAGATTGCACATTCACCACTTTATTGCATCAAGATTATTTCTTAGGACTGTGGTCTGAAAATGGCAATGTTAAAAGGTAGCAGGTCATGTGAGACGCATACAGATAGGAAGATTGGGGTGGGAAGAGGGAAGATGTAGTGTAGTACAAGGAGATAGTGAGTTTTAAGTGTATTCTCAGAATTTTGTTTAACTCAAATCAGCTGTTCCACTTTCTTTCCTGAAGGAGGTATTGAGATATTTAGCCTTTCTTGTTCTGTGATCCTTGTTCAGAGTTTAAGCTTGTTGTCCCTTGCAGAACTGTGACTGGAAAGGAGTATGGTTGCTCTTTAATACTTCATGTTATTATGCAACAGGAAGAGGGAAGTTAGTTCAGCTAAAGGCACTGTTGACACACGACCAAATAAAAATTATTAATCCAGGTGCAAAGTTAGAAGGTTTCTGTTCATCAGAGCAGAGAACTTCTGGGGCAGCCTGTAGCGGGATTATTGGAAGGGGAAAAAAACAAAATCAGCATCCCCCCCAGGTGGTGGTAACATGACATCTGATCACAAAATGGCAAGGACATTGAGTAGCAGTGACCTGTTGATATAGGGGTGTTCTTCCTGGTTTGGTGGTGTTCTGTAAGAACTATGGGGAAATAAGATTATAGCTGAATATTGTATCAGTAGTTTACTGGCCAGGGACTATAAAAAATTTTATGCTCTCTCATGCTGAATGCAAATCAGAGAAAGACAAAGTGTAAAATTTTGTTTTTAAATTTACCTAAATTTTAACGTTATGTGGTTCCTGATGAAGTCGGTGATTGCAGTGGCTGTACATGACTCTTTACTTACCACGTTTCAGTAGCAGTGATAACTAGAAGCTAATACTGATCTGTTTTGAATGAGACACATTTGTGAAAGGAAAACAGTTTTTGCATCCAAGTGATGGAGCTGTTGGCCCTTTTCTGTGCTCTTGACTCTCACCGTTTCTTCAGTGTCCCAAGTAGGCTTTGAGTAGTACTGTGCAAGCTAGTACGGACCTAACCTGCACATGAGAACGAAGAAACAGCAAATCTCTTATGCCACTGACTTGTAAAAAGAGTGAGTCTTTTGCACTGTCCTGTTGAAGCTGTATGGGTCCTTGAACAGTTCAGGTGCCTCTAAGTTTTAGTCTGTGGGTTGTAATAGAGTGTATGCTTATATCCTTTGAAAAAACTGGACAAGGATGCAAATCTGCTAAATACAAAGGCAGGGGAGGACTTTTGGATTGCAGTAAGTTAATTTTCATATGTCATTCTCTTTATTCTAGAATATTGTGGGTAATGCTAAGCCTAAGGAAAGAGGTAATGAAATTCCGTCATCTCCTGAAAAGCGGGAGAAATTTAAAGAACAGAGGAAAGCAACAGGTAATGCAAAGAAAGACAAGGATGAAAAGACATTAAAGACTGAGAAAAGAGTTAAGCAATCTGATAAAGAAGGAAAGTTGGTAGTCATCTCAGAAAAAGGCAAGGTCTCGGAAAAGAATTTATCTAAGAATGGAAAAGAAGATAAAGAGAATATATCGGAGAATGATATGGAATATTCAGTAGATAAACAAATTGAGAAGAAGCCTGAGAATGACAACGTAAAGAGTCCACAGGAAAACACGAAAGAAACTAAACGAAAACGTGGAAGACCGCAAAAAAACAAAAAAAAAAGGGAGAGCCCCGCCGATAACACCTCCAACGGGTATGTAGCTAAACTTAAATGTTTAGGCTACGTATCAGAACCTTTCTAAACTCACCTAAAGGAATGAAAAATATCTTGCTCTTTCTCTAAGTCTCTAGAAACTTGTAAAAAAACTTTTAACTCATCTTTGTTCAGGCTTGGTTAGGACAGCTGAGAGCATACTTGCCAGGTTTGGAGCTTCAGTGGTTTTGTCAGAAGTTAGATTTAGGCAAGTAATCTTCATATATTATAAAACATGTCTGCAGTAGGATTAAATGCTAATATGTAGACTTTGGAAAGCCAGGTGAAACTGTATTTATTCAAGTCTGGTATTTTAAATTGTGAGGCTTGGGAATTCATAAAGAACTTTTTTTTAAAGAGTTTTGCAGCTTCATATCCAGTCAGTTTTTGCTCTCTCTGTAAATACGTAGAGCCAAGTCCTCAGACGCTGCAACCCATAACTTTGGAGTTAAGACGTCGGAAAATACCTAAAGGAGGTGAAATTCCATCAAAGCGTCCCAGGATTGAAAAAAACTTGTGTGAGTGTTTTGGTATTCAGCTCTTACAGTATTTGTACGTGCAAGTTCTTGAAGCTTGCGGGGCGGGGGGGGGAGTCTGTAATACTAACTTTGAACTGCGATACATGAAATGGCTGAAATGCAGGACCTATTTTTCTTAAATTGGCCATTCATATGCAGCATCATCATGCTGAAATTACCTCCTAAATCTTAGAAGCTGGGTTTGGATAAAGGAGCCACAAGCTGTAAGTCTTGATGCAGAAGTTCATAGTGTGAGAAACATTCACCTATGTAGTTTTTAGGAGAGGACAAAGTCTGTGAGGCAAAGATTTATTTCAGCACTGGGTGCACAGGAGATACCTCCGTGATCCTCCTGCATGCACACTGGTTGGTCTCACTTCCACATATTTATTTAGGACAGTCATTCGTATTCATGCCATTTTTCAGAAGTCTTATACATATTCAAATGATTTCCTCGAAGTTATTTACATATCTGTGCCCTCCCACTTGCATCTGCGCACTGTTTTCTGGGGGTCGTCTTTGAAGGTCATGGTGTGAAGGCTCAAAGTCTTCCTCTTGGTTGAACTTTTGACCTCCTTATTCCGGCACCTTCACTCTGTGTTCCAGTTACATAACAAAACTGCAAGTTGACAGGTAATCTTTCTTCCATATAAGGGCGGGAAGGTGACAACCAAGCTAAGATAAGTGGTATCAGCTAAAGCAGCTTGACCCTGTACCCAAATACACGTTTCCCTGTCTCTGTCCACATACTTGGGTCCTTGGAGGCTTACATTGTTTCCGACTGCCTGTGTGTTACGGCTTAAACAAAACTACATTATTTATCACAATAGACATAGGGGAGGCAGTGATTATATTGCCGCCAATACACAGAAGGTTATAAAAACCTTCTTCTAGTTGTAGGAACTCTTTAGTTACTAGGTGGAGGATCTACCACATTGCTTAGCAAAGAAGCTTTAATACTAGATAAATATTCATGTCACTGCAGTCTGATCGCTTCTGCTTTATCTTGGTATACTGTGTAGTGATGTTTAAGAACTTGAGTGTGTTGATGAGGAAAGAAAATTATATTCTCTGTAGTAGTATTGTGAACAAGGAGATGAAGATCTGAAGAAGGCTCTTTTCCTTCTTTAGGACCTCAAAGTCTTAAAACTTCAGTGTGCTTACGTTATGCAGCTTAGGGTCAAAGTTGTTTGTGCATCTGTATTGTCTCATCGAACTTCTAGTATTACTTAGGTCTGTGGGATGGTTGCTGTTTAAAGGAATGTTTTACCAGTAAGATCTTGATCTGTATTCCTACTTCAAATCGGTTACTAAAAGGAAAAGTTGAGAGGCCTATAAGATAGGCTTTTGCTGTATTTTTAATGCTTATTTATAACGGTCAGTATGATTAGTCAGTATGATTAGACCTCAGAGAGGTCTAATCACCAGGGATGTTTAGCTTTTGCTATTAACCTCAGTCCTTTAAAAACCCCACGCTTTCAAACTGTAGCTGGGAGGAGAGATCTTTAAAGTTTGCTTGAGCTATTTAGTAATGCTATAACTGCATGGTACCGTTAAATTTGTCTATTCCAGCTCAGGAAAAATCGAAGAACTCTTCAGATAACCCTGAAAGAGATCAAATCAGGAGACGATCTTCAAGACTCTCATCTAGCATTAGCCATGAGATTTTAAATACAGATCATGTCACAACTTCAACGGAAATTCAGCCTTTGAAAGATGCAGTATCTAACCAAAAGGAATCTGAGAAGGGTAAGCACCTTCCTGGTATACTCTGGATTTGTGGTGGTATGGCAGTCATCTAGTTGTTGCAAGCACTGTATTTTCACTTGCATGACCTGCAGGCTTTATATCTGCAAGTAAACCTGATTTCATCAGCATTACAGAGAAAACTCAAGTTTATATCTCTCTCTTGCTGCCCTGGTTGCCTTTTGCTTTTGGTTCTGTGTCCATCAGTAACTCTAATGTTTCCCTCTCATGGTGGGAGCTTTTTCCGGTATAGGGATAACTGACCTGGCAAAAGAACAGCTCCATAGGTTGTAAAATAACTTAAAGGAAATGTTGTGGTTGTTTTTTGGTTTTCTTCTAAGGGATGCAGGTTGTGCTTGTGAAAATGAGGTAATTACAATGTTTTAACACTTTGAGACTGAAGAAGTAACCCAAATGCTAAACTTACAATTTAACCCTTTTGTTGAACACTTTGTCTCCACCCAGTCTAAGAATAGTGCTCCCTTTTTCTGCCCTGTGCTTCACTGCCTTTCCCTTTCAGGGAGATCTGTGTTGATGGTTTGAAGAGACCTGTCCCATTTTAGGCTATAAAGAGTTTGCAGCCTGTGTGTTTCTAAGCAGCTGTAAATTTAGAGGGTTGCTACAGATAGCTGTGTTGTAAAAACTTAATTTTGTGTTAATACAACAGCAAGCAGTCTGAGTGTGGATGGATGTTAGTCTCCACTGTAATGTAATGAACACACACATAAATGTACTGGAATATGCATTTGTATGCACTTTACTTAATGAAATTTTTTTTTTCCATTCTAGTCCAGTTAGAAATTCCTGTTGAATCTGACCAAAGTTTAACTGAACAAGGATCTCCTGGAAACACATCACATAGCACAGCACTCAGTACAGATGCCAGTTTACAGGAAGAAAAAGTTGAAGACACTGAGTCTTCCTCTGTTACTGTCAGGACTCAAGAACCTTCTGCTGCTACAGGTTCAAATTTTGATTTCGTATTTAATATTGATACATTTCTTAAGGCAACTGGTGCCAGATGTTTCATGCTTGTATGAGTATCATTAACAAAAATTATGTGTTCTTGCAATGTTAACCACAGGGGAAAATGCATATTTTTGTTCCTTATGGACTCAGTTTTGATCTTATGTTTTGGAGATTGACAGCAATCCTCCAAAAAGTGAAAACCATAATTTTTTAATGACTGGGTGTAGTATTTCTAACATGTGAATGGTGAAACTAACAAATGCTTGTTTTCAGGTTATAATTCGATGTTTGTAATTTTGGATTAAGTTGGACTAACATCTTAAAAGATCAGGTTCTTTTGTAATGTCTGGGCTGCAGGTAAGTGGTAGCATTGATGTTTGGGAATCCTGATTGTGCGTTTCTATACCCTTATGTTTTGGCTTCTATTATACTTAAGACCTGGACTATTTAGAGGTTTTAGTGCAAATTTATGAAATAGTTCAAACATTTCAGTGTCTGTCTTAAGAGAAGGTGGAATATATACATTGGTAGCTGGGCAGTGTACTTTCCTTGCTTTTTCAAATTAAAATTTCCTATACAGATACTAGACTATGCCAAAACAGTGCTGTCCCATGATTATTTCTCGTAACTTTTAATACTTGTGTCCGCAGCTAGCTGGGGAAACCTTGAACTATGAATTCCCTAATTTATACTCTAACAAAGAAGTTTAATTTTAAGTGGAACAGAGCATTTAGAGGTATTTAAAGTTGTTCAGCATTGCTAGAGTAATCTGTATGTGCTAGCTTTCATCCTCTTTGTTGGTTTTCCATGTTTACCCTCCTACTTGCGTATGTCCTCTTTCACCAACTCTGGTGTAACTGTACAAATGAAACGTCCTCTTCCTTTGCCACCTATGTGTACCTCCAGTGCAAGAAGGAATTTAGCTCTTTTCCTTTGTTCAGGTTTGATGTGTAAATGGTCTTTTACTATTTAAAAATTAGAGCTCTTTTGATCTTGCTCTCCTTCCTAACCACGCTGATGATATATTCACCTGTATTCTAAATATGATATATCCAGAGTCTTTTCAGTTGATGCATGTTGGGGCCATGCCTTTCCTTCCCTATGTTCTGGCAGTGAATTCAGAAGATACGGAGTGGCTGCAGATTCTTTTTCCTAGTCAGGCTGCTGTGTCCTTTTCAGTCCGTAAAGTACTTTTGGGTTTAACCTTTTTTTAACTGATGGATTGTAGTTTGTTTTGGCTCTTGAAGGCAAAACCACTGTTTGGCAGTTGCACCTGAACAGAATGTTAATCTCTCCGATGCCAAGGAAATGCCATTGCTCTCTACTAACTCTGAGTATGTGAGCTATTGACAGCCTGCCTGCAAATCTCCGAAGCAAAGGAAGGACATAAAGTGTTGCCTTTTTAGTATTAAACGTTTGTAGCGCCAGCAATGTTAGCAGCTAGTGCTGTGCTTTGTAGCTCTTTCCTTTGCAATTGGAAGTTCCTTTCATCCAAGGTGCCCTTGAAACTGAAAAGCATCCTTGAATGTATTTGTAAGATGAACAGCCATGTCCTGTTTGCAGATTTTCACCCTGGAGTTGCTTTTGCAGATGGCAGGAGGGGCTGTCTGCTGTAGCAGCAAAGGAACGTTAATTTTTTTTCCTCCTTCATTGGTTCTCTACAAGATGTCCCTGGAGTTCTTAACAGAAAGACTACAGACACTTGTGTCACTGGGAGTGCAAAGAAATGCTAACAAGCAGTGATGCTTCTTGATCTTGTTGGAATCTTGTGCTTCAGGCAAGCAGAAAGGGTGGTGGCTGCACATGAGAAAGTGTGTAGGTACAGGCATGGCTCCGAACAGGTGGAGTGAACTGAATTCCTCTGAGGTGAGATGTGCAGGACTTGCACCTTAGAGACAGCTCTTCTAAGATACAGCAGGTCATAGCAATTTTTAGAACTGAAAGAACTTTTAGTATGTCTGAAAGTACTTTTTAGCCTCTGGCAAACTATGTAATAGAAGAGAAGGTATGGTAAAACTTTCCAGTACAGTGGATGCAGTCACCTTTTGGATGTGCTTTATGTAGGAAACCAGTATGATAGAGTGCTTTTTAACTTCAGTGATCTTGCATGGTAAACTTACTGCTTTTCTCAAAGTTTGTTTCTTAGCTGACAAACCATTTAACCTTCTATTTTGTAAATTCCTGCAAATTTTCAGTTTGAAGTGTAGCATTTTTAAGATGACTGTTATCTTTTGTATAATCTTTTGGGGGTACTTGTTGAACTACAGATTGACAAACAACAACTTTGATAAGATCTGAGAATCTGCAGAATGGTAAAGCTTTTTGAAAGAACCGCACTTTATTAACAGTATGGCAAATCTGTGTTAATGGTTACAGATGTTCTTCCAAACAGTTAATGCAGTATTAAGAAGGCATCTACTGCCATTGCCTTTGTAAAATAATCCAGAAGTAGTCAGAGAATATCCTCGAAAATAAAGAAGATTTTAGTTGGTATTGTAATGTGTAATCACAAAGCTTTGGGGTTAGTGGTCAAATACTACTAAAAAATGCTGCCTGCAAGGGCATGTATTTTCTAACTTAAGTACTCATTTAGGATGTAAAGCTTTTCCAGGTGTTTCACAATGTCGTAGTTTCAAGTAACTATGATATCAAAGATGTTTTTTTTTTTTTTTCCTGGTGTAATGAACTGGGGTGTTGTCATAGCTGTATGGTCATCTTCAAAGAAGGCTTCTTTTAAAAAAAAAGGAAAGTTTGGGGATCTGAGTTCAGGGCTATAAGTTCAGAGCTAGTACATACTCAGGAGTATGTGTTAGGGTTTACAGCAAACAAATCACTTCTAGTGACTATGAAAGCACAAATAGACAAAACAGACTTGGTTATGTGAAAATGTTACTTCTCTGTGTGTGTGTTGCTGATGGGGAAATCTCTTCTCCTTCCATGAAAAAACTTTAGGGAAATGATTGATAGATGTAAGGATTTAAGTTAAATGAAAATACCAGCAGATTTTTTTTCTTCTACTCGCATACTTTCTGCTTGAGATTACAGATGCAGTTTACATTTGCCTTGTTTTATCCCCTTGAACTTGTGTAATACGTGTTGGGGTGAGATGCTGTGTTTTGTAAGGGAGGAAGTAGGGAGAGGAATTCACTTGTACATTTGAAATTTATAAAATAGTATTTCTCAATTCCATTTTTTTAGCATTGGGGATCATAATTTTGGCGGAAGGTAGATTGGGCAGAACACCAGTATAATGCTAGTGTGTGACTGAACCATTGGGAGTTCAAAAAACCTGATCCCTTTGGATACCTTTTGCCATTATTACCACTTCTCTCTGACTTCCTGATGTTTATATTGCTGAGCATTTGTAACTTGGGCTTAAACTGGGGAGAATTCCAGCTGAATGCACAATACCTACGTGCGTGGTGTTGGTCACACCGATGTGATGTGCAGGATGTGGCTTTCCCCTGACCTTGCTGAGTTGGATACAAGCCATAAATCTGTGGGAACACGACTTGGTTCACTTACCTACCCAAAGCCTCTGGTGTAGCTTGTGTGCTCCAGGCACTGGCACTTCTGTCAGTACTTGAGTGAGCTGGATTAAAGTTAACTCAGGAGTATGCACTTACACTGAATTCTGACCTGAAGTTCAGCACTGTGGTGGTGTCTGAAAATCTCCACTTCTGAGCATGGATTTAATTTCATTTAATTAAAGCCATCTGATTTAACATTAGAAGTGCCAGACATGTACCTGGGTGGATATCCAGATCTGGCAAGCAGGTGTTTTTATTGGAGAAGACTATTAAGGATGGGGAATAAGAACTGTACAGGGTCTTTTTGAGTAAATACTGTCACCTGAAGTCCAAAGAAAAATATCTGTTTCCATACTTAACAGACATTAAAAATGTTATTAACAAGTGGTTTGTTCATAAAGAGTTTCAAAATCCATAGATCCTGTCATGGATGGATCTTCTGTAATTAAAAGTGGATCTGTGTTTTCGTGTACGTGCTTCTGCCTTACTCGTGGGATCGTGCCTGTACATTCTGGTGCCGATGAACCGGGGATGGGGAAAGCATCTGGCTTGGGCTCTCGCCTGGGAGCAGCCTGTGTGCGCAGCGGCATGGCAGAGGCCTCTCCCTGTGGGATCTGAAGACATCTCAGAAAATCGCCGGTGGCTTCCTGCTCTTCAGGGGCTGGTGGTGGTGGTAAAGAGTCTGAGCATGCCGTCCTAAAAATAACTGGTGTTGGAGGCTGAAAACCAAGTTAACTTACTTTGTGGGTAACTACCAAGGGAACAGATGGACATCTCTCCAAACACTAGTAACTGTATGGCAGGCAGTTACGTTCTCAGACTGCTGTGTGTGTTAGAGACTTGGGGTTTGGAAAGGGGAGAAGTATATTGTCAGGGTAGGTGGTGTGGGTGGAAAAAAGGGATGTTTCTTATGTACAAGATTCCCACAAAATAAAGCATGGAAGCTAAGGTCAGAGAGAACTTCTAGTACTTAGAATAAATGCAGTATTGTAACCCAGTACTAACTTTTTTATTTGTCTGTAGGCTTTAATTCTAGTCATTTGATGGGAATTCACTCTTTTCCTGTGGGAAAATACTACAAAACATAATAAAATGAACAACTTTCATTTTTCTTCAGTGTGTTATGTTAATGTTGTTTTGGCATGGGTGAGCAATGCACCCTGGTAATACTAGTTTGAACTTGCATGATGTATAGGAAGAACATGGTTTTTATAGCATTAGAATATCAGGAATTTTTGAGGGCAAAAGTACTCCTTTTAAAGAGTGTTTTCCCAATCACTGGTTGGTAGATGACTCAAGATTTATAGTAGTTGCAGACATTTGTAACGGCAAATACAATTTGGAGTGTTTATATGCTTTAAAATGTGTATGCCTGTAATACTGCCTTTTCAGAACACATAGCGTTACTTGTCAAAACTTAAGTTCCTTTTTTAAAATTTTCAGCAAAATTCTGGTGAATTACATGTACTAGAGGATAAAAATCCTATTCTGCTGGTTTTTGGCTTCTCTAATGTATGGACCAGCATTGGTGATTAGGACTTAGCTAAATCAAGTGGTCTTTCAAAAAAGCAGAGGAGAGTCTGTTGGCAAATTTTTGCAGCTGGTTAAAGCTCTGTTTTGTATATCTGAAAACGGGCTTAGAGGCACTCTGCAGCTGTTTGCCTGACTTTACTGTTACAAACTGATTTGACTTTAAAGGTGAGCTGCCTTTGCTTTGCACAGATCTACTGTCGTGTTTGCAGTTGTATTTCCCAGAACTCTTAGATTACTTTTTTATTTGCATAGACATGCATCAGGGATTCCATTTGTCTTTTACTTACCGCATGTTTTTCTAATTTTGTCGCTTTTAGCTTTGGGTTTCAGTTAAGGAGAAGCATAATGTTTTTGCATCCATTTTGAGAGAGCAGCTGTTTATCCTGCAGCTTACCTAGGTAGGCTTTGATTCCTTCAAGGTGATGTAAAAGTTGTCATTTTAAGCCTAATGATACAGAACGTAGAGAAGTCCATCCTGCCTTGCTCATTTAAAGTCTCTTACAGCTAGTCCCCATGACCTGGACGCAGTGTTTCGGTTGCACCTCAAAGTGCAGGAAAAGCCTTTACATCCACCCATATGCCAGCCCCCTCTAAAGGTATGCCGAGGCTTGCACAGCACTGCACTGTACACCTACAAGCTTTTTGTGCAGTACCGACTTGTCTGTTTTTATTGTTATGAATTTAGTGCCAGCACGGGGAGAAAATGGTGAGTGGAGAATCATATGAAATACTGTCTTGAGTAATTCTTGCCATGTCAAGTAATGTTTGAAGCTCAAAAATCACAACTTTGTATACATGTAATGATCTGTGATTATTGATGCCATATGTATTTATTACACCAAGCATCTACTTGAGTGGATTACGAATGCACTGGGTATGCTTGGATGCTGTCCTTACCTGAAGTAGTTCGAGAAGAGCGATTAGGCAAGATGTTCTTTGTTTCACAGCTGAGATCTTGAAAGACAGAGGTTTTTGAAAATAAAGGAAGAAACATAATTTGGGTGCCTAAATGATGAACAGGAACACTTTTTGGTGAGCTCAGGAAAAACAACACAAGATTTCAGAAGAAATAAGACCAAAGAAGTAGGTAATTAATAAGGAAGCTAGCCCAATGGTGTGAAGTGATCCAGAGCACAGCGTAAAAAGTGTCAGCTCAAGAAAGGTAGTGGTAACAAATAAATAATCTTGAAAATAATACAGATGGAAGCACTGGAAAACATATGTTCGAGAGTGACTTGACTTTTGGTTCAACAGCAGGTGAAGGAGAAATTTGATTTTTTTGCTCAGTATTTCTGTGAAGACTGGGAAATAGAGTCTAGAAGTCTCATCAGCTTAACAGGTAGTTCTGCGTGAAGATCTAATGGCTAGAAATGGCAGCAAGGCCAGCTTTAATTGGGGGAAAACACTAAGTGTTCCATGCACTGTTGACTTTCCGGGATAGCTTACCAATGTGTTGCAGAAGATGCCTCGGGATGGCAGACCTTCAGTCAAGATAGTGTTCTACTGCCAAATGTTCCTATCCCAGCCAGAATCAATTCAAACAAAGAATTGGTGGTGGTGGGGAAAATCTCTTGTGGACTCAGAAGCTTCACACGGTGGCGTTTTACTGTAAACTTACTGCTAAAGGTGGTCCGCTTGAGCCTTGGATAATACAGCACAATGGGAAGTTAGAGAAGTTGCTGACTTGAATGCTGAAGGGATGTATTTTTTTCGCTCTGTAGTGAAAGTTAAAGGAGACACTGTTGTTTGACCGTGAACCTCTGTTTAATACTGTAATGGCTAATTGAATGCCAAGTGAGGAGTTTTAATTTTGGTTATCAACGTGGAAGAAACCGCAGGTGGTAGGTCTGTCATTAACTTTCCTCTGTACTCGGAGAAAACACCCACCAAGCTCCTCTGAAAAGGCAAGTGCCTGAAAACCTGAAGCTAATACAACAGAACTTTCTCTCCATAGAAACCAGTTTTAGTACCATGTGTTGTGAGCAAAATTTGTATATGTGTGTAAGGATGGAAGTTCCCCCCTTTAGATGCTGGTGTCATGAGTTGGCTTCAGAGCGCTTGGCTGGGAGCACAGGATCTGCAGAGGCTTTTGTGGGTGGCAGAGTTGGGCCTCAGCTTCCTGCTGCGCCGGGGTGGCAGGGTGTTCTGTTCTGTTACTTGTAAAGAAGGAAAATGCCCCCAGATGTGGTGGTGATAATTTAACCTTTGTCTCAAACTGTGTGGGATTGTCTTTGCTTTTATTACTGTGAATAGATTCCTTTTGCATGTTGCAGTAAGTTTGTGTGTTGTGGTTTGTTTTTTTTTGTCTGCTTTCTTTCCCCGTACCCTGTGTCTTTGTTACCTCTGTTTCTAAACTTCAGCTAACATGATCCTGTGCTCCTCTTCTAGCTTGTAGCTGATCAGTTAGAAGCCATTCCCTGTATCTTCTCCAGAATTTGTCCATCTCAATGGAGGGGAAGTGCTCTGAGCTTGGATACAGGGCCTCATCATGACAGTTGTGTGATGGTATAATAGTTTCCCTTATCATCTTCGTAATACTTTTTCGCTAAATCTTCAGACGCCATTACTCCCTTCTACTGCAGTTAAGTTTTCCCATCTTCATGTTAGTTACTAAATGAAACAAGTTCTCTTTCATAGTCCTGAATGCTGGTTTTTAGCTTTACAATCAAGAGAACTTTTCTGCACTTGCTTTCACTAAACCCATGGGCCATATCACTGACCATCCCTGAAATAGAAATGTTTTTTCATTCTTTATGAATGCCACTTTTGATGGTGTACAATATATTTCGATTTCGGTATTGGCAAACTTTGTCATTCTGCAAGTGTGATCCAATTGTCTGGCTTTGTTGCAATCTTAGTATCGTAATTGCTTGAAGCAGGATCCCTATCAGCATGTTCTTAATATGGCTATGCCAAAACGTCTTTCTCTTTCTCCTTGTCATTATCTCTGTGAAACACCCAAAAGCAGTGTCTTCATTTTTACTATTTTCTTCTCAAAGCTGAATGAATATTCTTTCTTTTAACCAGTCTGATGTACATATGACTTCTTAATCCTTCCCTGTACATCAGCCTTCATAGTACCATTACTTGTTTTTTCTCTATGAATGACTTCAAGTTTTGTTTCTTTGTCATAACACAGTCCTTAAAAACTGAGTGTGCTTCAGATGCAGCTATCTAGGATACTTTTCTTCGCTATGACATGATCTTTAAGTGTGCAGCTCAGTAACACTCACCATTTTTGCTGCTACATGCTAAAAATTTCTGAACAAGCTGTCCTGTGTTCTTACACCAAGATTGTGTTGGCAGTACCTTTAACACTCCCATTCAATGTGTTCCTGTATAGGTGCACTTGTGGAAAGTCTTATTCTTTCTGCTCTTACTCTTGTTTGTAATGTTTCTGAGTCCTTTTGTGTTCCTTGTTTTCAATTACTTCTAATACAATGTCTTAATTTTAATTTGCGTGCTGCATACCTTTGGTTTTGCATCACTGTTGCTAGGTCTGGGTCTTAGCTTTAAACACTACTTCTTTCTTAATCCTCCAAGTTTGGAAACACTTGGGAATATGGAAATAATACTTTCGTACTGGTGAAACAAATGGAAAAATGATATTTGGAAGCTGTTTTGTTAAAAATGATGCCTCCTTTCCACTGTCCTCTAGTGAGTGAGGGATTTTTTTTTTTTTGATGCTGTGTGCGTTTTAGTGATGGATAATTGCCTGGATCTCTCTGTATCTCTGTTTTCAAATTTCTACCTCTCCTCTTGTTTTATCGGGTACAGATACTGGTGACAGTAATCTAATTTACTCTTAGTACAAAATGTTTCTTTTGTGTATCTCTTAGTGAAAACATGACTTACAAGTTTCTGAAGTGCTGGAAGAAGAAATAGGAATTTAGCAGATCGAGTTTAGGTATAGGCCTGGGTTGCACAGCAGTGCTCTGTAAAACAGATGCCTTGAAACATTCTTCCATTTGAGTCTGAAAACTTTCCTTGCTTTTTTTTGAGAAACTAATTAACTGTAGCTTGTAGGAGACATTTTGTAACAGATGCAAGCAATTGTCATTTTGCTTAGTTTCATTCTTTCATTGCTGCTTGAAAATTGAAATAAGTTTCATTTTTACTTGAAAAATGTAGTTGTGATGTACTGCTTCCATTGTTCTTGGAAGTAACCAGACTTTGCTGGTAAGACAAAGCATCCAGAAAGCAGGTAGCAAAATAACTATAAGCAGAGAAGCAGAACTGTTTTCCTTGGAAAGTGCTTTCACCAATGATGTGAACAGCCATTAGCAGTTAAATAAATACTTAATAGAACATAATCCTCAGTGGTCTGACTAAAATACACAATATCTGTGTAATTCAGTCTCGTGTTTATAGTAGCACTATATACAGTGGTATTAGCTGTTGGGCAAGGGACTCATGGAAGCAAAATGTTGTTTTCTGACTAACTCATTCATAAAAACACTGTCGGAGTGACAAACAAGTTTTAAGAGCATAGTAGGGCAGAGTTTTCCCTTAAAAGCTATTGATCTTCAAGGCGGATACAGCATTAAAATTTTATTTTTAGTGTTACTTAGCTAATATGTTTTAATGCATGCCCATTTCTTAACGTTTTTTTTGTTTTAAGTTTAGGAAACCATTCAATAAATATGGCAAATGCATGGGGGAATTTATCTGTTTTGTTCTTACAGTAACAAAACCTTGTAGGAGAACAGATTTTCTTGCATCAAAAAAAGCTGCAACTGTTGATCAAGATCACAAATTTAGATGCAAGTTCTTGGACTGTTCAAAATCCTTCCGCAAAGCCAAGTTACAGCATTATCACATGAAATACTTTCATGGAGTGGAGAAGGCTGCAGAATCACAGCAGAACCCTGTAAAAAGAAATATTCAAACCAGAGCTTCTTTGGCTTCTGAGAAAGCTAATCAAGAAAGGTCAAAAAGAGGATGGACCACAGCTGGTTCATTGTGTAAGTATGTTGCTGATCTCTTCCTTTTTTTTTTTTTTTTAAACAGCAGCAGGCAGGACAGGCAGGAAAGAGCAGAAACCAGTTTTCTTTTGGGCTGATGGAGCCTCTTTAGGGCTCCATCTTAGCAGATTTCTTTGTGGAGAAGAGGCATAATGTCTGTGAACATTATGTTTTAGAGAAGATAAAACTGAAGACATTCCCTCATCTCAAAATGTAGATCATGTTTTGTAATGAGCTGACTATGCAGCTTCTCTTATTCCTTTGTAACAGCTCACTTGAGTATTAAACCCCTATTCTTTTTTTTAAAACTACAATTCCTTGAGTTCTGACTTCCCTCCCTGGCTTGGCAAGTAACTAAATAGTATTGTTCGAAGACTTTTTATCCTTTTCCGCATTAAGGAAACAGTCTGAGTAACTCCAGTTCTCTCCTATTTCTTGTTTGGTCTTTACATTTCATGGTCTAACTTCAAGAGTAGACTCTGCTAGAAATCCAGTTCCAGTTGCTGCAGTATTTACCATTCTCATTGCTGGAGCTGTGGGCAAAAAAGTCCTAGTATTTAACAAACGCAATTGCTGTAGCTGTGCTTGAAAAAGATCCTCACACAATTGATGGATAGGCAAAAGGGATAGAAACTTAATGGTTAGGAAGAAAATCAGTGCTTAAGTTATAACTGCTTTGCAGTCTTCAGAATCACGTTAACTTCTTCGCTGTCTCGTTCTCTGAAGCGCGTTCTTCCTAGGGTCTTGCGTAACATCAGAGTGGCAATCTAGGATTACTTGTGAACTGCAGTGGGGGTGTTGATAATCTATCCAAATGTTGTTCTTGTGGGCTGACTTCTCTTTGTACTGTCAGTCCATAAAAATTATAATCTCTTTTGTCTTCTGATTGAGCCTGTTTTATAAAATCCAACTTTCTCTTTGCTGAATTCCCTGGTGTTTTTTT